TATCAACCAAGAATTTGTTCTTGAACAATTAGCCCTATTTGATGCATGAGCATTTTTAAATTGTATCCAAAAAGGTCTTGTCCTAACTAAATATTTTGAAAAAACCACTAAAAGGTTAGGCATAGCTAGTGGGTCTAGGCTCCTTGTTCAGTATAAGGCAACCAATGTCATTGTAGGAAACCAAGGATTTCAAGTCCATACTCCATTCCTTTTGGTAAAAAATGTAAGAAATAAAACTATTTTAGGAACTCATTTCAATAGGAAAATTCTCCTTTTCTCCATTTCCTATGATGGAATAACCATTCAACATGTAAGTAAACCAGATCTCTTTGAATTCATTTCCAAACTAGTGATTAAAGAAGTTAATCACATTCTTATTAAAGAAAAACAAATTAATTTCTTATGGAAAGAAATTTCCTTAAAAAATATAGGGACTCAAGTAGCCAAATCAAAAGTCTAGCAAAAAGTCCAAACCCTTTTAACTCATATTCAATAATCCTAATGTTCTGATCTCTCTAATGCTTTCTAGGAGAGAAAGAAGCATTTAGTCAATCTACCTTATAACAATATTTTCATGAAGCCAAAATTCCAATAAAAGCAATACCAATCCAAATGAACTAAGAACTTCTTGAATTTTGTCAAAAGGAAATTCAAGAACTCTTCACCAAAAAATTAATCAAAAAGAGTCGTAGTCCTTGGTCTTGTGCTACCTTCTATACTAACAAAAATGTAGAAATAGAGAGAGAAGCTCTAAGGATAGTAATTAACTATAAGCCCCTCAATTAATCACTCCAATGGATTAAGTACCCTATTCCTAACAAAAAAGATCTTCTTAACTGCCTTTATTTGGCAAAAATATTTTTTAAGTTTGATATGAAATTTAGATTTTGACAAATTCAAATTGATGAAAATAATGGATATAAAACTACATTCATAGTTTCCTTTGGCAAATATGAATGGAATGTCATGCCATTAGGTCTGAAAAATGCCCCCTTTGAATTTTAGAGAATCATGAATGAAATTTTTAATTCATACACCAAATTTATTATTATTTACATTGATGATGTTCTAGTTTACTCTTGGTCAATTAATCATCATTTCAAACATATCCACATATTTGTTAATATTGTCAAAAGAAATGGCTTTGTTGTTTCAAAGATAAAAATTAGTCTTTTTCAAATCCAAATAAGATTCTTAGGTTACTATATTCATCAAGGAATGATTACTCCCATTGACCAAGCTATTCAAGTTGCTAATAAATTCCTAGATCAAATCATTGATAAAACCCAACTCCAGAAGTTTTTAGGGTGTTTAAATTATGGAGGAGATTTTCTCCCACAGTTAAACAACTTTATTAAACCTGTCCATGATCGCCTTAAGAAAAATTCTCTACCATGGACAAATACCCACACTTATATTATCAGACAAATCAAGTCACAATTTAAAGAGCTCTCGTGCCTAGCTTTGCCTAACCCACATGCATTAAAAGTAGTGGAAATTGATGCTTTTGATGTAGGATATGGAGGAACCCTCAAATAGAGACTTGATGGGAAAGAAAGCATTATTGCTTTCACATCAAAGCATTGGAATCTAACCCAGCAAAATTATTCAACTGTCAAAAAAAAAATTTAGCCATTGTTTTATGCATCACAAAATTTCAAAGTGATTTATTAAACCAAAAGTTTTTTGTTAGAGTTTATTGTAAATTGACTAGAGATGTTTTGCAAAAAAATGTTAAAACTAGTGCATCAAAATAAATTTTTGCTAGATGACAAGCTTTATTATGTGTTTTTGATTTTGAAATTGAATATACTTGAGGCTTTGCAAACTCTCTTTTAAATCTCACAGAGAATTTTTGTAAGGAAGGTAGAAATGCCTCCCAAGAAAGGAAAAGAGAAAATGAAGAATTTTGATTTAGCAGCACTATTGTTAACAGGGTAATTAGCCCAAAATCTAAATGAATCATCAACTTAACTATTAACCAAAAAAGTAGGGTCATCTACCCTAAAACCCCCTAAGCTAGAAATACCAACCTCTTCTAAATTAACTCCTAAACCAACCTCTTCAAAATCAACTACCTAAGCAACAACCACAAAATCATATGCCTTTCCTATTGAAACAATTTAAGCTTTAGCATCGCAATGATTAACCCATCTACCTAAACAAACATAGGCAGATATTGTTGAGGAAGAGGATTTAGACTTGATAACCCTTTCCCAGCTCATTGAAAACTTCAAAAATAAAGAGGTCATTATTACTAATCTAAGAAACAGATAAATGACTGAGTTACCCTTAACCAATTCACAAAACTAAAACTAGTTATATCCCACGGCTTGATAAAGCCACATATATTGTTCAAATTAAACTTGAATTTTTCCCTAAAAATCTAAACCATGTAGCCTCACAAATCTTTCCTCCAAGGTTCTGCTTCAAGCTAACAACGTTGAATAAAACTCAATAATTTTATGAACTTTCTTAATAGACACCAAGTCTATAACCTTGAGACATAAACCTAAAGAAAAGAATGGGATAAAATACCTATCCATTTAGACCCATTTTACACTTCAAATTAAAAAGGTCCTTACTCTTGCTGGCTGAGGCCAAAACCCTAGTAAACTAAAAAAATTCACTGTTACTTTTAACCCAGTTGGTTATAGCTATTGGGATTGTGTTGATGCTTGGCACAATATATTCTGGTATCAAAAAAAGAATAATGGCATCACATATGGTTCCTTTATTTCAGAAGGGACTGTAATCCTTATAAGTTTCCCTAATAGTTCATTAAATGGTGGGATTACTTTGGATTTATTGAAGAAATTTTAGCTCCTGTCATTAAACAAGGGTTTTCAACCTTTAAATAAAAAATTAACCTTGTAGATGATCCTTTTTTGATTCTTTTACATTTTTCATCAAAACTATCTTTATCATTGATATTTGCTTGGCATTACAAATATACTAATCCACCCAGCAAATACCTTATTCTCTAAAGGATTCCAAACATAAGGTAGTATGTAGACTTTGAAGACTAGAGAGCTAATGTCTCCACTATCCAATCATGATTTAAAAAGAACCCCTAATGACTCATAACCTTATAAACTAATATGTTTTTAAACCAGACAAGCCATATCCATGTATGCTTGGCTTCAACCTTAGACAAACAAACTTTTATTAACCAATTAAAAAATGCACTCTTTTTATTGGAAAAAGGACAGTCCATTGCAGCCTCTGCCTCTGCCTCTGCTTTAACTTCAAAAACTTTAGAGGAAGAAGATTATACATAAGAAAATGAAGATGAATTCTTTAGAATTAACCTCATAGAAGAGTAGGAAAAAATTTTTCAAAAAAGGTTGACCATTAACCATTGCTAACGGTCAAATAATGACTATCAAATGTTGACCAGATGGCAAGTCATTGACCATCAGATGAAGATAGTTAGATGAAGTATAAATCATTAGATTAAACAAATTTTGATCATTGAATTTTGTAACATTCTGAATTTCTTAATCCTATGATTAATTATTAACTAAGGGTAAAGTGGTAATTAGTGTGGGATTAGAGATTTGGATGATTACTTGATAATTTAACTCATTAAGATGTTGAATGAATAGATATGGGTGGAAAGATTTCATTTTGGGTTAAAGAAAGTACGCGTGGTGAGAATTAATTTCACTATACCACGTGTCGCTACTTGTATTGTATGTGCCGTGGCGCATAAACCAAAAAATAACTTCTTATGTAGTGAAATTTTAGAAATTTTGGATAGAAAAAATTTGAAAACGCATGAGAGGAGAAGAGAAGAAGGGCTGAAGTGTTAAGGCAAGCCATTTTACGTAATTGGAAGGTGCTTTTGATAGGTTACTTAATAGATAAGCTATGTATAACTCTTACCTTCCATTCTACACAAATTTCTCTAAAAATAAGTTATAGGAAAATTGAATCAGTGAAGTTTTAAGGGTTTAATTCTTTTTCAATAGTAATAAAAAGGTTCGTGTGAGTTAAATTAGAGCTCTGTGACTGGTTTAAAGCTGAACAGTAAAACTTTGAATTCATAGGCTCAATTTGGCCCTAAGAGAGAGATTTTAGGGTGAAAATTTGATTTGAATGAAATGAGACTAGTTGAGGTGATGAAAAGAAATAATCGAGTAGTAATGGACTTAATATGAATAAATGGAAAAGAATTTATAAATGAATATAGCTATAAGTAGTAAATATGTGTTTTTAGTCAAATTAAATTAAATAATTAAATTGTGTCAATTGTGTTTAGATTGACATATTGAATGTATGAGTTGAGAAAGGAGGCTTGTGATAAGCCATTGTGGTAGTTGAAATCCACAGGTAAGCTTTCGAGCAACAAAAGGGTTGAGGTAACTAAATAACTTCCTTTGTTTGACAATTTATTGTAATTATGTGTGAGTATGCTATGTAGTGCATAAAAGTATTTTGAGCTAAGTGTCACGTTTCGTCATTTTTCATAAGGTTAAAGAGATCCGAAATGCTCCAGAACCCTCCAGAAGGCTCCCAGCTAACCTTAAGAGTGCTAAAGAATGCAAGAACATTCTAGAAAAGCCTACACAACTCTAGCCTCAATATTTTAATATTGCCTCTAGATTCTTCCATTTAAATATCTAGATATTTGTTAAGAGAATTCTAGAGAATCAATTGTAACCGTAGGATAGATTTAATCTCCACCATCCATTAAGGAGGTGGGAACATTCTAGATCTAAAGGGAGGCCTATAAATACCTCATCCCTCCTCATTTGTAAATCATCCTTGAGTTCTCAAAGCTATAGAACTCTCACATTCTCCAAACTCTCTCTACTCTCCTTTGCCTTCAAGCTTTCCCTTTCCTTTACTTAGCCAAGCATCCTCCTTTCATACGAGTTAGGCTTACTTAGCAACTTCCAGTAAAGGTTGTCTAAGTGCCACACGGGTCGAAAGACTAACCCCGTGATAGTTGGTATCAAAGCTCGGTTCTACCGTTGTGCTTGAAGGAAGATACGATGGCAACTGAGAAAGGAAACGTCGTTGGCACGAAAGCACAGGAGCAAGCTCATGCACAACAGGAGCAAGCTCACCCCAGGTCCAAGCGAGAGCGAGGCCAGAGCAGGCACCCGCAGGTGAGTCCCTTGAACCTCATGTTGTTAGCTTGGAATCTAACATGGAGGAAGTGAGAACTACTATAGGGGGACTCAATGATCAACTTAACAATCTCATCCAAGAGAATGCTAAGATAACGCGGGCTGCCAAGTTGATGATTGCAGACCTTAACGATGATTTAAGGGAAGACATTCGTTCCCTCAGACGTGATCTCGCCGATCTCCGCAAATATGTAAGAGATGAGGTGCGAGGTCTACACTCAAATGGATGAGATTCGTCATGAATGGGAATCTATCACTGTGTGAGTAGCCCTATTAATGGTAGTACTTCAAACACCACTTCTCAGGGTCTGAAAGTGCCCAAGCCGGCCATGTACAATGGGGCTCGTAGTGCTACAATTGTGGAGAACTTTCTCTTTGGGCTAGAACAGTACTTCGAGGCCATGGGAGTCTCTAATGACTTGATCAGAATCAACAATGCTTCAACTTTTCTCCGAGATGCAGCCCAACTATGGTGGTGCAGAAAGCATGCTGAACGAGAGAAGGGCATCTGCACTCTCAACACATGGGAGCTGTTCAAGTCAGAACTCCGCAAGCACTTTGTTCCCCACAATGCTGAGACAGAGGCTAGAGGTAAGCTTCGCAGATTGAGACAAACTAGTAGTATTCCTGACTACATTAAAGAATTTACTACCATCGTGCTCGAGATCGAGGACCTGTCCGACAAGGAGGCTCTTTTCTACTTCATGGACGGACTTAAAGACTGGGCGAGAGTAGAACTCGATAGACGCAAAGTGCAAACTCTAGATGAGGCAATTGCTGCTGCTGAGTGCATAATCGACTACTCCACCAAGTCCAAAAAGCCTAATCCTAGTAACAGTGAAGGAGACAAAGGAGGACAAAAGAAGAATTTCGATCGTAAGGATGGTGGTACATTCTTTGGTGGGAGTTCTAGACAAGATAGACCACCCTCAATCAAGCGTGATGCTCAAAGTCACCGAAGCCATACTTCATGTGCGATGGTCCACACTGGACTCGTGATTGCCCCAACCGCAAGGCTATGAATGCCTTGGTTGCTGAGATGAAGGATAGCAGGGATAAAGAGTAACAGATCGACCTTGGTTCCCTCCAACATTTGAATTCCTTAACTGGACTCTTTTCCCATCCAAGAAGGAAGAGAAAGGTCTACTTTATGCTGATCTTGCTATTCAGGGCAAGTCTGCGTCTGCCATGCTCGACACAGGAGCATCCCACAACTTCATAGAGGTTGAAGAAGCCAAGAGATTAGGTATCCAGCTCAACAAGGGAGAAGGCACCATCAAGGCAGTGAACTCCCCAGCCAAACAAGTCCTTGGGATTGCCAAGGATGTGAAGGTGAAGATCGGGGACTGGCAAGGTACGTTAGACTTTACTGTTGTCCCTATGGATGATTTTAAAGTTGTGTTGGGACTTGCTTTCTTTTGCAAAGCACATGCCTTCCCTATTCCCGAAGCCAAGTCTATGGTGGTCATTGACTCTAACATGATCCGGGTAATTCCTTTGAAACGCTTGGAGAAACCCAACCCTATGATTTCTGCCTTGCAATTCAAGAGGAGTCTCAAGAACTCAGAAGGGTATATTGTCACTGTACGTTCATTGGCTGAGGAAGAGGATGGCCCAACCAAGCCACGGGAAACCTTGCCACCTTGCATCCAAGAGGTGCTACAGGAGTATAAGCACGTTATGCCCGATGAGTTGCCCAAGAAACTACCTCCTAGAAGAGAGGTAGACCATCAGATCGAGTTAGAGCCTGGTGCCAAACCACCTGCCTTGGCACCTTACCGCATGTCACCTCCAGAACTTGCAGAGTTAAGGAGACAACTGCAAGATCTCCTTGATTCTGGATATATTCAACCATCTAAGGCCCCATATGGTGCTCTAGTCCTCTTTCAGAAGAAGAAGGATGGATCGTTGTGAATGTGCATCGACTACAGGGCTTTGAACAAGATTACCATCAAGAATAAGTACCCGATACCTTTAATTACTGACTTGTTCGATCAGCTTGGAAAGGCCAGGTACTTCTCTAAGCTTGATCTTCAATCCGGGTACTATCAAGTACGCATCGCCGTAGGTGATGAGCTGAAGACAACCCGCGTAACGAGATATGGAGCATTTGAGTTCCTTGTCATGCCCTTTGGACTGACGAATGCCCTGGCAATGTTCTGCACACTCATGAACAAGTTTTTCCACCCTTACTTAGACCAGTTCGTGGTGGTATACTTGGATGACATTGTAGTGTACAGCAAGACTCTTGAAGAGCATGCTCAAAACTTGGAGAAAGTCTTCCAGGTACTCTCTGATCACGAACTCTATATTAAGTTGGAAAAATGCTCTTTTGCCAAACAAGAGGTGGACTTCTTAGGGCTTATGATCAAGGATGGGAAGCTCATGATGGACCCAACTAAGGTTCGAGCCATCCAAGAATGGCAGCCTCCTACCAAGTCCCAGAGTTAAGATCATTCCTTGGTCTGGTGAACTACTATCGGCGGTTCATCAAGGGGTATTCAACTATCGCTGCTCCATTAACAGATTTACTCAAGAAGAATAGATCTTGGTAATGGTCATCGGATTGCCAGGATGCTTTTAAAAAGCTGAGGCAGATGGTCGCGCAAGAGCCTGTTATGTCCTTGCCCGACTACTCCAAGCCGTTTGAGGTACACACCGATGCCTCAGACTTTGCAATAGGCGGCGTGTTAATGCAAGAAAGACACCCTATTGCGTATGAGAGCTGTAAGCTCAATGACATGGAGAGGCGCTACACGGTGCAAGAAAAAGAGATGTCTGCCATTATCCATTGTCTACGAACCTGGCGTCATTATTTACTTGGGAGCAAGTTCACTATTATGACAGACAATGTTGCTACGAGCTACTTCCAAACACAAAAGAAGCTCAGCCCGAAGCAAGCTCGCTGGCAAGATTTTCTTACTGAGTTTGATTATCGGTTGGAGTACAAGCCAGAAAAAGTGAACGTGGTGGCAGATGCCTTAAGCAGGAAAGCCGAGTTAGCCACTCTCTCAGCAAGCATGCCCCAGAATGACTTCCTTAAACGAATTAAGGAAGGTATGTCTCAGGACTCATCCGCAAGCGACTTAGTAAAGCTTGCTACCGAAGGCAAGACTCGAAGATTTTGGGTGAATGATGGAATACTCTACACCATTGGGAACCGAGTCTATGTGCCAAAATGGGGCAACCTTCGAAGGGATGTCCTAAAAGAGTGCCATGATTCCATGTGGGCCGGACATCCAGGTATAACCAGAACACTTCTCTCGTACAAAATCATTTCTATTGGCCACATATGCAAGACGATATCGAAGCATATGTGAGAACTTGCTTAGTGTGCCAACAAGATAAGGTTGAACAACAACATCCTGCTGGTTTACTCGAACCTTTGCCAGTGGTTGAGAGACCATGTGAGAGTGTCTCCATGGACTTTATAATTGCTCTCCCTAAGTCTGAAGGATGTGAGAGTATCATGGTGGTGGTTGATAAATTCAGCAAATATGCCACCTTTATACCAGCCCCAGCAGATTGCAAGGTCGATGAAGCGGCACGCTTATTTTTCAAGCATGTTGTGAAGCTATGGGGGATCCCTCACAACATCGTCAGTGATCGAGATCCCCGATTCACCGGGAAATTCTGGAGAGAACTTTTTAAGCTCTTGGGGACATATTTGAATTTCTCAACAAGTTTTCATCCTCAGAGCGATGGACAAACAAAGTGAATCAATGCTTTGTTAGAGCTCTACCTTCGGTACTATGTGAGCGCTCATCAACGAGATTGGGCTAAGTTGCTCGATGTGGCCCAATTCTCTTACAACTTGCAGCGAAGTGAGTCGACAGGTAAGAGCCCTTTTGAGATAGTTACCGGAAAACAACCTCTAACCCCCAACGCACTTGCCACACTATACAAGGGAAACAATCCAGCTGCCTATAAGTTTACCAAGGAATGGCAAGAAGAAGCCGACATTACTCGTGCATGCCTGGATAAAGCTTCCCGAAAAATGAAGAAGTAGCAGACAAGAAGTGGCGCCCCATTGAGTTTCAAGTAGGTGACTTGGTCATGGTTAAGTTATTGCCGAATTAATTCAAGTCACTATGCAAAGTCCACAAAGGCTTAGTCAGGAGATATGAAGGCCCTTTCCCTATCATCAAATGTGTGGGAGAGGTTGCGTACCAGGTACAACTCCCTCCCAAGCTTAAGATTCATCTTGTCATCCATGTTAGTCTCTTGAAGAAATACTATAGAGATGAAGAAGATCCATCTCAAGGTATCTCTAAGAGAGCACCGACAGCAGTCGTCACCGACTACGACAAGGAGATAGAAGAGATCCTTGCAGACAGGGTGATCAGGAAGAGAGGAGTTCCCAACTACACTGAGTACTTAATCAAGTGGAAGGGTCAACCAGACTTTGAAGCTAGTTGGGAACGTGAAGACCTCCTCTGGCAGTTCACTGACCAAATCCAATGCTACAAGGAGGAAGGCGCGACGAGGGCGTCGCGAAATTAAGTGGGGGAGAATGTCACGTTTCGTCATTTTTCACAAGGTTAAAGAGGTTCGGAATGCTCCAGAACCCTCCAGAAGGCTCCCAGCTAACCTTAAGAGTGTTAGAGAATGCAAGAACATTCTAGAAAAGCCTACACAACTCTAGCCTCAATATTTTAATATTGTCTCTAGATTCTTCCATTTAAATATCTAGATATTTGTTAAGAGAATTCTAGAGAATCAATTGTAACCGTAGGATAGATTTAATCTCCACCGTCCATTAAGGAGGTGGGAACATTCTAGATCTAAGGGGAGGCCTATAAATACCTCACCCCTCCTTATTTGTAAATCATCCTTGAGTTCTCAAAGCTATAGAAATCTCACATTCTCCAAACTCTCTCTACTCTCCTTTGCCTTCAAGCTTTCCCTTTCTTTTACTTAGCCAAGCATCCTTCTTTCATACGAGTTAGGCTTACTTAGCAACTTCCAGTGAAGGTTGTCTAAGTACCGCACGGGTCGAAAGACTAGCCCCGTGACATAAGCATGTTTTATAGTATTGTATGAATGTTGCATGAAAATGGCTTGTGAGCAAACAAATGACTAAGGAAAATGTGATTTCATATCGTATGTTTATATATATATATATATATATATATATATGTGAGAAAGTATATAAAGTGGTAATTTGAAACCTATGTAGTTCGAAAAGCATGATCATAGGGGTGGAAGTTCACTCGAGTAGAGAGGTGGTGATAAGACTATATGACATATTCCTCAGTTCTTAATAAGGTACGGTGTTAGAAAATTATACCTCCTTAGTACCTTTTAAGGTGCGGTGTTGGAGATGATCTCTTTAGTACCTGTTGAAGTGCGATGTTGGAGATATGGGACTCTTTAGTGTTTGTGTGATATGATGTTGGAGTCAACAATACCTCATTGTGTGTATTGGGAAAAACTATAATTCAAAAGTGAGATAGAACACCTTTGGCCGAGTGATACTACCACCAAAGGTGAGCTCAGGGTCAATAAGAGTGTATATTGATCTAAGATGAGTTTATGGTTTTGTGTCGGGGTAATTTAAAGGTTAAATCATTATTGATCATGCTATATGATGCAATATGTTGCTATATGCTGTAAAAGAGGACAAAAGTGGTGAAATGTCTAATATGAGTGTTAATTAAAATGAAATATGTGATTTGTTATATAATATGATATATTATGCTTTACTTTCATATAGTTGCATGTGATAATCAATAGGAGTGAGTTATTTCATTATTGAGATTTTTATCTTACTCCCGTGGTTACATTTTTCTAGGACAGAGCAGCGATCAAGGTAAGGGAAGAGAGTTTAGACCGGCATAGTAGTGCTATAGCTGCAAGACCCTTTTGACCTTGTGTAATGAACTAAACACTTGTGTATATTTGTAAATATGAATTGCCATAGGATTGCATGCATGCTTTGAGTAGTGACTCTGTGAAATCTTAGCCCATTTGTGTATATATGTAATAAAATGAATCAAGGGCTAAAGATTTGAATGTGTATGAGTTTAGAATGTTGTGTTTTTGGTGAATCTTAGTCTGTGTGTGAAATTATAATGAAATAAGTAATTTGAGACTAAGATTGAATTGTGAATATGATATAGATGTAGTTTTATATGAATTTGTAGAAAAAAAAAGCCAAATAGGCCAAGTTGTGCCAAGTAATGACAAATTGTGAAAATTTATGAAATGTGAAAATTGGCCGTTGAGGGGTCAAATTTCAATATATGAGTATGTTTGTGATATATTATAGTTAATCAAGTATATTAGGTTCTTTTAGACTTAATTCAAAGCCTTGTATGGTTTAATAAGAGAAAGGGATCGATTTGAGCACTTGGATGTATAAAATTTTTTAAAAAGTAACTTTTTGTACCCGGGTGTCTAAATTTTGATTAGACTATTAGATTGTATCCAAACATATCTCATTAGCTAACTTATGAGATAAGTTTCGTGTAGGCACTTGAATCACTTCAATCAAATGTCGTATTTGAAAACGACGCACGCCGAAAATTATTCATTTTACTGTCAAAATAATAGCAAAAATTTCAGATAGGCGTATAGCAGTGCATAGTGTCATATGCCACAGCGCATGGGATAAAAAGTTAGGCGTGTAGATCTATCCCACATGCCGCGACTCTCGTACTGCACGTTGTGGCGCACAAACCATTTTCCAACCTGATTTTTATAGTTTTAAGGCATGCAATTGGTAGTATGAATGCATATAAGTTGCTTTCGCTGTGTATTGTTCAAATATAATATGGTACTTGATTATTTTGTGAAATAAGTTTTTGGCCAAAGCTTTTCAAATAAATTCTTTGATTATTGATTAGTATGTTTAAGTAGTGATTCTATTAATCTTCTCCTGTATCGAGAATATATAGGGGAGGGTTACAGATTTTTTCCAAAGTCTATATGAACCCATGTAAGGTCCCTTTCAAGGGCAAGCTTTGATTGAGAGAGAGAGAGAGAGAGAGAGAGAGAGAGAGAGAGAGAGAGAGAGAGAGTCCTCTTTGTAAGCCTCCTTTTTCATCTTCTTTAATAAAATTTTCCATTAATCTTCATTTACTTTCTCATACTTCTGCATTTATATTCTCGCACTTTAATTTCTGTCTTCTTTTAAACTGTGCAGACTACTGTCATTCTAGTACTATTTTAAATTATAGTTCTTTACTTTCTGCATCTTTTGTCTATATCATGGGGTTACCGTCGTTCTAGCATTATTTTAGTTCTTTATTTTTTGTTGTTATTGTTATTTTTACAGTCTAACCCAGCAATTCATCTACATTGTACTTCTCTTCCCTATTCTTCTTTTCTCCCTCCCCCTTTCGGGCACTCTCCTCTTAAGAAATAGGCTTTGAAGAGCCTTCACTAGATTTTTAGCCTTTTTAAATCATTAACAAGGCTCAATCATTTAACTAAAAGAATATAAATTAAAATATAATAATACAAATTAAATGTAATTTAATAAATAAATAAAATATAATAGATATAAAAAATAAAAAGACTTAAATAGACCAAGCCTATAAACTTATAGGTTAGGTTTTGAAGAAATGGACCTTGCCTATTTTGCCAAATAGGCCTTAAAAATATGCCTATTTAGCTAAACAAGTTAGGCCCCAACTAAGCTAGGTTGTAGATCATCTAATAGGGCTGGATTTATTTTCACTCTTAATTTTAAATTAGATTGTATTACAAATAGTATTTATAGATATTGTGGCCAGTAACAGACAACAGTTGCACAGTAAGGTGAAATCCTGTTCATATAAAAGACATAAAATGATATAAAAGAATTATCCAATTATCCTTGTGATTGTGGGGAACAATAGTTTAAACTTAGGATTCTGCCTCACAAGACAGGTTTTAATTTCTTTTCCCTCTCGGCCAAGTTACGTTTTTAATTGTCGATACCAGTTGGCAAAAAGAAATACTGTCAATGCCAACTTGGATCATGAAATGAGTATTAACAATTGAACAGAACACTAGAGAGCCATTTAACCACACTAATGACTACATGTATCCAAACATGGGGCCATTTAGCTCGCTCCCCCAAAAATTCACTCCTCTGGCAAAGTGGCGGAGATCCTTGTCTTTTAATCTGAATATTCACACACACACTCACATTTCACAGAATTGTTCTTTACTGTTACTGTTTATTTGTACAAACGAGTGCATTAAAGTGGACGATCCAACTTGCTTGTCTTTGGAATCTAAAACCAATGACAAAGAAAAACTGTTCCACATGAAGTTCACCCCACAAAGATTTACGTACATCATCTCATTGATCCATTCATTACACGAAAACACACAAGAATTTACATCACAAGGACTCACAGGTCTGCAAAAGTAAATACACAGTCTGTTAACCAATACCCCTCGTTTGCCACCATTGTTCATGGCAAGAAGGACTATGTACCAAACCTTTTCAGAGAGAGAGGGAGAGAGAGACTATAAATGAGGTGACATCCAACCCACAGTCCATCCTAGAAGTATTCCAGCCCCAACAAGACTTAGTCCTAAGGCAAATGCAACAGCATACGTTGTAACATCTGTTTTTGCCTGGTCTTGCATTTCTTGACTGTCTCCCCCAAAATTCTGCTTTCTCTTTCGTGTTTTCCTTCCATTGCAAGACTTGGAAGGAAGTGCCGTGGGGAAGAGAGTGGAGACCAGCTGATCCTTACTATTTGCCTGAAAGTACAGAGTTTCCAGCTGCAACAGTTGAAGCCATTGCTTATATGCAAAAATCTGTGAGGCCTGTTTGAAAAAAAACTTCACAAGGTCCTCCTTTTCAGCAAAAGCTTGCCTCACTGCCTCTTCGGCTTCCCTTGCACGTTTTTGGGAATGATCCAATGCTTCCATAAGCTGAGCTCTACTTGGATCTCCCTCAAGGATTTTTTGCTTCTCCATGCTTTCATCATGAATTTCAGTAGTACTGTCACAAAATTTTAAGTTCAGACACATGAATCTAAACAGAGCATGATTACCTAGTTCCAACAACACATCCAGAATCCAACGGGAAAAGTTAATAATTCAAACAAGCTTCACTCACTCAACTAGTTAAATTACTTTCCTAGAATCCATGAGAGTGGTTTCAAAAAAGATATAAAAAGTTGGACCTATGCAAATTGCAAAACAACAGCATCCATCAGAGGAAAATACCTAGAAGATTTGTTGGAAGCAGAGTGCAAAATTTCTTCTTTGGCTGAAGGTCTCTGATTCCCATGCATTAGATTAGGATTCAAACATTCTCGTACATGAACAGACAAGTTGGAGGAGCCACTTGATTGGGCTTCCCAGTCAAAAGATGACGTCTTTATTTTGTCATCTTTAGCATTACATGGGTGTCTTCTAAGATACTTCTTCTGAGGTGGAGGAAGATCACAATTCTCAAAATGGCTAAGAGATTTCTGAGAAACAAAGAAAGCTAGTTCATCTCTATCTGTAGTCCGCCACCAAGGCTCAGTCTTGTCACTTTCAATCCAAGAGCAATCTGAACCCAAGCAGGAATCATTTGTTTTCTTGGACACTGAGCAGCCAACGGGATTGATCTCTACTGTCTCATGTTTACTCCTCATATCAGATAATTCACAATATTCTTCAGAATTCTTAATATATGCCTCTTGCATTTTGTCCTTGAAAACTTTCTTCGCATCATTGGTCTCAAAGTCACAGTGCATATAAGAGGATGAATGGTGGCTCTCATCACCAAATTGAGTAACTTCTCCTTTATATATTTCATTTCCATCAAGAGCTTTCAAAGTTTCCAATTCATCCATTAATGATGAATTCAAGTTCTCATATGTTGGGCACTTCTGGTACCCATAATTAGGTTGTGATTGCAACCACCACTTGGAAGCAGGCGATAGATTCGAAAATGAAGATTTTCTGTTAAAAGGCACGGCATTAACATTAAACTGATTTGATTCATTGGCTGCACTAGCAGGTCCAGCATCAACTGATTTTGATGTTGCACATGAAGATTGGCAACATGCTAACTTGGGAGCTCTTTTAGCATCTTCTTGAACAAAGCATCGATTAGCAGTTCGCTGCAATATGGCCCTTGCTTCTCCTGCTGCCATCTCCCTTACCTATTTTTCTTCATGGATTCTGTGTAAAACAGAAGAAAAAAATAGGGTTAAAAGTTGAACAACATAAGGACCTACACATTTTGAACAAAACAATACGGACCTGAAGTCACTAGAAGAGTGTAAAATGAATGAACATCATATGCACTTTTGTCAATGAATAGAAAAAGGCAAGATTCAACAACAATGTAGAAAGAAAGGGAACATATGCCATTGTGGCATAAATATCCTATCAAATACTCACATTTTAGAGCATGGAGAAGATTCTAGTTTATAAGTTCTAATTGTCATTGAAACAGATCAACGATATAATATGATGGCGTATAAGCAGCAATGACAATAAATTGTTTCACCCTGCACCAAGATCTCTCTTGCCAGTAAAATGTCTTTCAGAGTAAGATAAGATGAATGCTTGCACGGTGGGTTAACAGAAATCAGAAAGCTATGTTTAAGATCTCATAATATTTCCTCCTTCTAGTGTTCACTGATCAAACACGATACTTAAAAACATTAAAACAGGGTAACGATCAAACACAAAGTTCAAAGAGGCGAAGAAAAAATAACATAGAAATTGCATAGTCCGCTTCACCGCGAAATATGGGACCTCCTGTAAAAGATTGATCAAATCAGATCAAAACGGTCAACCCCACAAGAAATATTCATGACATGCATGAAAATTCAACTATCACCCAAATAGCATAGGAAACAAATACAGAAAAAGAGAATACAGAATCACCCAAAAATTTCAATATCCGAGAACAACACGATCACTGAAATAAGTCCAAATATAAGTTGGAAAACATACGCCATTTGATCAAATAATCACTATAAAGATGCCTAGGGTGACAATCATTTGATAGAAGTGAATAGCAAATCATAGGAAAACAGAAGGGTTGGGATTACTAACCAGAAGAGCAAATGGGTAAAATGTTGGAATGAAATTGGAGGAAGACAGGCAATCTGGTACTTGTAGATCAGACTGAAGAGAAGCTGGTGACGCTGATGAAGAATATGTAATTGAGATCCAAAAGAATCAGAAGAAAGTAGAAGATGAAGCTTGTCGGCTTTTTGTGCCTCTGTTTTCTCGTTATCATCCTATGCTGTCGGTTTCCATTGGCAACCTTTTGCCCCAGTCCAGTGACAGCTCCACGTTAGACTGTTACGACGCCGTTTCATGCGTCGCATTTTTCTCGGGCATGAGGGGCCGTTCATTGAACATCGAAGCCGCAGCTCCAGTCCAGTTTTTACACCATGCGTCTTTGTTGGACACATGCTAATGGAAATGTTTTTAATTGATAATGAGGTCGGAATTAATTTTTGAAAACCTTAGCCCAAAAAAATTAATTCATAAAAGAATTAATATATAATTTGAATCATGAATTATAAGTCTAATGGCAATTTAAATTTTAAACTTTTAAAAAATATATTTTAAATTTTAAATATTTTGAGTGGGAATAATTTTATCTCGTTATTAAATTTAAACAAATATTCATTAGTTTTTTTTTAAATTGAATTCTAATGTGTAATTTTGAAAAAATTTCACTAACCTTCTCTCTCTTACTCTCATTTGAAAAAAAAAATCACATATTAAACATTAATTTTTTAAAAATTGACGGGCGTTTGTTCAAATTTAATGAGGGGGCGAAATTGCTCTAATTTTAATTATTTAAAATTTAGAATATATTTTTTAAAAATTTAGAGTTTAAATCACATCATATTGTACATTAACCCTTCTTAAAAGGTAAGTTTTGGCAATAGAAAATAAAAAAAGGCATAAATATTGAATGATTTGATAGTGTCAAATATATAAAAAAATTATTTCATGTCAATTTTTTGTCAAACAACATGCAATAATTCCAAATAATCCAATCATCACATTTGTAGTTTCCTTCCATTTCTCCATCCTTAATCCCTCATCAAATGAGATGAGATCTTTTCTTGTTTGTGTTGTTATATTTTAAGTAATATTTAAGGTAGTTGATTTGCATTAATTTTCTAATTGAATATTCCGGACTTTACAATGATGCTCAATATAAAATATTTTAATTTCAATTTTTTTAAAAAAAAAGCTTAGATATTCCTTTGCCCGTTAGATATATAGTTAGAGAAAATTTTAGATAAATCCAATGCACCAAGTTATTTATAGTTCATTTAATAAAATTGCACCATTCAATTAAATAAAATCTTATATGTCATATTTTTAATAAATTTATTTTTATAATAAAATATCTATTTAATTTCTTAATTTTTTTACTATCATTTATATTTAATGTTATATAAATATCATATTTTTATTAAATAAATTATGAATGACTTGGTGCACTAAATTTGTATATGTACTTTATTCCAATCATTTCAAGATAATTGACTATTTTTATACATCACTTACCATGTTGCTAATTCGATTATTAATATTGATAATTTATTCGTTAAGTTTGAGGTCCATATGCTCTAATTTTTAATATATATATATATATATATTTTTTTTTTTTTGGACCAGTCTATTTTTTTTTTAAATATTGATAGCTTATTTTTTGATTGCCATTTCCTCAAATCCTCCGAGCCTTTGTCAAATTGGTAGGCTATTCTTGGAAACGGCGGGGTCCATGCCATATAATGGAGATCAAATATTCAGTGTTGCGCGAGATTGTTAAGCCGGTGGATTGTTGACATGTGGCGAATGGCGGCCGACAATGAACGATATAGATATGCTCCACGTTATCTGAGAAAGATAGCACCTCAACTCTTGCAAGGGTGTACATAGGAAAATCCTATATCTCAAGTCCCAACTACCATTTCAGCGGTTCAGCCCAAGTCCCAACTAGCATTTCAGCGGTTCAGCCGCTTTGTCATTTTATGTCTATAATTTATTAATTTTTGTATTTTACAAATAATGTCTTTATTAAAACTGAAAAATACTATTTCGATCCCAGCACTTTATTTGGATTGTAGAATAAGTTTTTATATTTTTTTTAATATTTTAAATTTCTATATTTTTATTTATATGTGTCTATAACATTAGTTTTTATATTTTTATAGAGACGTTGAGGTAACACAAATAATATTAATAATGCTAGCATGTCAATTAATACTATTAATTTTATACTCACGTGTCAAATTGACACTAACATGAAATTTTTAATAAGCAATTATTATTTTTTAAAAAATGTCTACATGAAATTTGTACATTTTGTTGATAATTCAAAAGGTTAAGATCAGCTTTTTTATTTCATCTAATGTAGTTTTTTTTTTCTTATTAAATAATTTCATGTTAGCATCATTTTGAAACATAAGCACAAAATTAATAGTATCAATTAATATGTCAGCATTATTAATATTGTTTATATCATATCAACATCTTTCTAAAAATGTAGGGATCAATATTGTAAATGGAGGAAAGTATAGAAACCTAGAGTACAAAAAACAAAGTACATGGACCTATACTAAAATCAAATAAAGTATAGAGATCAAAAGTAGTGTTTTTATTTAAACCCAACAAATTCGTCACCCCTTAAATGTTTTAAAATGACATGTAATTTTTAGGGAGAATTTCAATAAAAATTCTTGAATCATGCTTATTTAAATTCAAAGCCCATAAATTTTTAAAATTTAAATGTAGTCCAAGGCACTAATTTAATATTAAAGTTTTGAGAGAAATAATAAAATTATCTCTCATTTTAACTAATATCAAAACTTTCTTACTTCACTTATTCATTTCTTTAAAATAAAATCAAGTAAAAGTGTGACAATGAATAAATGAGATAGGGCAACAAACAACAACAATCTGTAAGTGAATAAATAGCATATAGTATAAGAACCAATAAGTTATCTTAAGATGATTTAAACACCTAAAATGAAAATAAATTAAGTAAGGCAATGAATAACATTTTATAAGTAAATTAACAAATGAAGTACAATAATGAACAAATAAGTAGGGAAGTTCTTATATTAATTTAAATGAAGGAAAATTTTATCATCTCTCTAAAAAATTTAATATCAAATTAGTTTCCTTACAGTAAAATTTCATAAATTTAAAGGCATTAAATTTAAATAAGCATGGTCTAAGGGTTTTTATTGAAATTCTTCCTAATTTTTATTAGTATTGTTTGATATTTGATTGATGCTTTTGTATGTGATCACGCACCAAGTTACTAATGATTTCTTTTGTTTAATATGAAAAATATAATCTTTAATTCCTATAATTTTATCGAATTTTATTTTTAATTCTTTTAGTTTTTTACCAAGGTTTTTAGTCCTTATAGTTTCAAAAAGATTGGGTGATATTTATTTTTAGATCTTTATAGTTTCAGTTTTTTCAATGCTTTGAGTTCATATAAGAACTAAAAATACTAAAAAAATTACGAAGATTAAAGAAAATTCAATAAAACTATAGAAATCAAAGATTATGTTTTCGATATTTAATGATCATTCCACAACATAAAATTGCTAGAAGCATATCAAGAAGAGAAATGCTGTGTCTCACCACAAAAGAATGTACTCCCATATTTTCAAATATAAGAGAAAATAGTCCATTCATATGGTTTAAAAAATTAGTTAAGTATAATAATTATATTTAAAACTTAAAAAACTAGACTAAATTATCCTTGTAATCAAAGAAAAGTGCATCTAGTTGTTTAGGACAAAGTTTGTAAACCAAATAATAATGGAAAACTTGGTGCTAGGCAAGTGCAATAGTAGAACAAAGCCTTTCAAATGAAGCTAGGTTGGGTTCTGATTAAACAACAAGAAGCTCTTTAAGTCCAAGTTGGTCGTAACAAGTATAAATGTGGCTCAAATGTGATTCCAAAGGTTGAAGGAAAAAGACCTAGCCCTAGCGTTTGAATCAAGATTAAATTCACTTGAGAGTCTATTAAGTCTAGAATTGTAATGAATGCTAATCGTCATGATGCCTCGTAGAAATGGAGCAGCTGTCAATATTTAGTCTAGTCAGCTTATGAATATTTAGACCCACCTCCTGCTAATTGTGTTACTACATAGAAAAAGATTTGGAAGCCATGGATCCCTGAAAGATGTAAGTTTTTTCTATGGTTATCTTACTACTGACTAACAGATCACGAGAAGCGAGTAACACATGTGGAGGAATGCTGCAAGATTTGCAAGGCAGCAATTAAGGACATCATGCATATGCTAGGGGGTTGTTTGAACACGAGAAGATTCTGGTTATATTTTCAGGACCACAGAGATAGAAGGTCATTTTTTGATGTAAATCTGCAACAATGGATCCAACTGAATATGTGCTCAACGGCAACCAAGCATGGTGTTCCTTAGAGCTCTAATTTCTTGATAACCTATTGGCTCATTTAGAGACAACAGAATGAGATGATTTTTCAAAGTAAAACTACTTCTAATGCTCTATAGATGCACAGACCTTAGTTATTATTAATACCTTCACAGAATATCGAAGTAAGCTTAAAGGTACAATGTAGAGAAAATAGGATGGGCGTTTGCTAAGTGGCACTTAGATTCTACCAAGTGATGATTGGCTCGAGCTTAATGTGGGCAGTGCCTTCTCTGCATGTACAAATGAGGTTGGCTGTGGTGGACTAGTGTGTGACTTTAAGGGAGAGTTCAAAACAACATTTATGTTTAAAATGATAGATGGGAACTCATTTTTTGCTGAACTCTAGGCTTGCTTGTGGGGGCTTAAATTAGCTTGGAACTTTAGCTATAGGAAGCTCATACTTGAATTTGATTCATGTGAAGCTATCAATGTATTTAATAGTGTTAATCCTCTTAACTATTTGAATGCTAAACTTCTTGTTGAAATTCAAGTGTTGCTAGCTCAAGAAAAGGTGGTACTTATTTAACAAATTTCAAGGGACGCCAATAAAGCTACTAACCTTTTTTCCAAGCTAGTTTTTTTTTTTTTTTTTGTGTTAATGGGTTTCACCCTGTCCCCTCCCCCCCCTTGACTTAGTTGTTATTTTGGTGCAAGACACTAGCACCAGTGTTTAGTTTCTTTCTTCTTGTGTATCCAAAAAAAAAAAAGAAAAATATTTACTTTATAAATGATAGGGAAAAATGTAATAAATGCTTTTTGAAATTTGTAGTTTTATTTATAAATAAAATAAAAAAAGACACATAATAATTTCTCTTATATTTGAAAACAAAAGGAATACAAGAAATTGTGAAAATAATTGTATATATAACACTGCTACAAATCAAAAGTGAAAATTTTCCATATTTGTTTCAAATTTTTAATACTATATATATAATATCAATATTTATAAAAAATAAAATAACAATGATTGTTTTATTATTGTATATTTATTTATTTTTACAAAAAATGCGGATGAAATAAATTTTTCCGTACATTTATGGGGGCCACTTTTTCGTGAGACAAAGCCTTGTGAATGCATTATCCTGTATTACTTAGGAGTACTTCAAGAATTGAGATATGATTAGTTCTGATCAATTCTATGTTATACAGACCTTGGTCCAATTTACTTGGTGAGTTGTTTTTTTTTTTTTGTTTTTTGGGCCATAGAAATAAATTTAATCGGTAAGATTCAAATAAAACATGATAAAGCGTCAAATCATGTTAAATCAGTGCCCCATCACAATGATGGAGTATGCATGTACACACAAAAATGATTTCAAATATGAAATGTTGAACTCTTTCGGCATCAGGGGGACAGGCAAGTGAAGTGGTTCCATTTGTATGCACACCCTTATAGTTAAACAATTCATATATATATATATATATATATAGGATTTTTAATAACATAATTCGGATATTTCTTTCATAGCCATTGAATGAATTGGCCATGAATATCTACACACTTGTGCTGCATTGAGTGACCTTTTATCAATTTTATATGATACCTGGATATATAAATTATATTTTTTATTACTCTTTCTATTAAAAAATGTAAAACATTTTTAATCAAATCTCACCCTTTAATAAAATAATTACCCACTTTAAAACTAATCATATCTCTTTATATTTATCTCTATTAAACAACCTACAATAAATATAAAATTATTATTAATAAGGGTAATTTTGAAAAAAAAATTAATTACACCTCAAAAGATTAAAAATACTTTACATTTTTTAACATTAAACTTCTCAAAAAATCTCTTACATTTTTTGACGGAGTATTTGATAAGCTCTAATGTATATTTTTCTCCATATATAAGTGGCGGATAATTTGACACTTAACATTGAGCATAGCAACACGTGAAATTTTTTTTAGAAGGAACACACAGCACAGCTAGTGGGAAGAGCAAGCTTATTATAAAGCTGATGCGTCAATTAATCTCACCATCATAAATTCCACCAACTCACTCTCAGAGTTTGTGTATATTATCAATTCTATAACTTGAAGTAAATGAAAGAATTCCCTTTTACATACGAACCGTAAGGCATGATTACAGATGGACATAGACCCTAGGCAACGGAGAAGCCTAACAGTCAGAAAAGGCCAAACTAGCACCCTCTAGACTACCTTAACAATTCCAACCAAAACCAACAACGAAAATACTAGCATTCTCTAAAAATCTTGTCAGCCTCAGGGCTTCCTTACCTTGAGAGAACTATGGTTTTTCTCAGAAAGGAAGGAGCGAAGTCAGCGTCAATATATACATATATATATATATATGTATATATGCTGTTCAAATAAGTGATGCGTTCACATGGATGAGAAGTTCATGATACAGGATGCATTACTCGTCCAAGTTAAGGACTGCTTCCTCGTTCTGTATAGGAGCTAACATATCTGTGGTCTCTGGATGTACTGGAGAATTCCTTCTTGCAAAAATGGCACCATCTTATGCCAGCGCTTGAGTCAGTTATCCATATAGTCTTAGAAACTTCTCACTGCTTATGCCCTTATGAAATATATTTGTAGCATGGAAAAAATCCCGAGCATGTGCCTCAGACGCATCATAATTTAACTTCGTGACGAAGCATGTTCCTATTCAGGGGCACCAACTTGACAGTTCCATCCCCACCACACGAAAGAAAACCATGAGAAACAACTTGGATGTCTGTAACAGCAGCCTGTAGCATTTTAAACAAAAAGGCTTATTGCACGCACATAACCAAGAAATTTATTTATTTATTTTTTGTATAAAAATTTGAATGATGCAGAAAACACGATGAGCTAAGTGTTAGTGTTTCTGATAAGTGTTCTAAGTGTTTAGTTGATTAGTGTGACTAAGCTGTAGTAGTAATTAGTTGATGGCGAACTTGTACACTATTCCGGTTGAGTAGTGAAATTTCTTGCTTCTCACATTTTCGTTCAACACAATGCAATTAGTGGATAACTACTTCCCAGGACCATCGTCAAAAGTTGAACCTAGGACATTTTTTTGTTGACAAAGTTTAATCTTAATAATTGTACCAACCATTGCTGTCCCTAGAGTAGATTACTTATGTTTGCGAAGTACTACTTTTTTCTTGTCTTAATTAAAATCGAAGCTTGGCACAATATCTATAGCCAGAGGCTCCTTTATTAAAGAAATGGTAAAGGCATGCAATGTCCAAGAACGAAAAAACATGATAACATGCTTTTATGCAGGTGTAAATCATTACCCGAACAACACCCCCAAATCCACGAGAGCTTGGCTGCAAGAAGGTGTGCTTTTCATGCAATTTTGACCACTGATAGACTAACTGGGTGCTCTTGACATCCCAGAGTTTGACATCTCCATCCTTACTACCAGTCAAAAACAAGCTGGTATTTGGGATGGCAGCTACTTTTGTGATGCTCCCTGTAATTGGAAAAGTTAGCAAGATGATTTAATTGTAGAGAAAACCATAACTATAGGGGCACAGAAACTCGTATTTACCTGAGTGAGCCTTCGGAATATACCAAAGCATCCCATTTACATTCTTGTCCTTGTCAGAATTCAATGACTTGGGGGTGCTTTGGATGCTGTTATCAGCGTACCTGTGCCTTTTAGCTTTTCCAGTAGCTATGTAACGGAAGTCATGAATTCCAACGTCACCATTTTTTCCACCAGTCACAATAAGAGGGGAAATAGAACCGCTTCCTAAGTCGTTATCTATTACAGAAAGGGAGCGAGCACCACCTTCACAAGAAAGAGCACCGTTGACACCATAAATACACATAAGCCAATCCTTATACATGAAATAAGAACTAATCTTTAGGCAGTAATTCATTGCATCCACATTGATAAAAAGACCCTCACCTCCCAAGACTTAAAAAAAAAAAAGGAAAAAAAATCAGTTCGCTCATAGCTAAGCCAAGTTCAGGGCCCATCCAAGTTTATGATTTAAGCTTACCTCAAGGCTAAAAATTTGCATTATATCAACGAAATACAGCCATGAGGAACATTATTGGTTTATTAGTTAAAGAGTTATACAACAAGATGAAGTTGTTTTATCCCTCTTCGTGAGGTCAACTATATGGATTGTGTGACTCCATCATGCTCTATAATTTACCAAACTTTTAAGAATATTATTAACTAAGAGGTCTCGGTCAACAGTTTCCAGAAATATTCTCTCGTCTTATTCTACCTCTCTTAACAAGATTCAAAATTATCCATTTCACTTTCCTCACCAATGCCTCCCGCAATCTTCTTTATACATATCCAAGTTCTCTTAAACGATTTTCTACCATCTTTTTCTCAATAGATGTTACACCCACTTTTTCTAATATATCTTCATTTTGAATTTTATCTTTACGTGTATGCCTGCATATCCATCTCAACTACTCCAACTTTATGCTCTTGCTGTCCCATTAAAGCCCAATATTCAATACTATATAACATAGTTAGTTTTACAACAATTTGATAAAACTTCCTTTTAAGTTTAGTAGATACTTTTCAATCACAAATAACTCATTTAACCTCTCTCCAATTAAATCACCCAAGTTGCATCCTATGTACAACATCCCCATCATGTTGGATAATAACTCTAAAATATCTAAATTTTTTCACTTGAAGTATAATTTGATCTTTCAATTTCACTTCCAAATTATTGCTGAGTGATCTCCCATCAAAATTACAATACAAATATTCTATCTTACTCCTGCTCGGGGCAAACCTTTTGACTCTAATGTCTTTCTCTATATCTCAAATTTACAATTAATCTCTTATCTTGTCTCTACAAAAAAAAAAAAATTATATCATCTGCAAAAAGCATGCATTTGGGAATAATAGTTGAAGAGTTATAACTCTGCATATTTGTACGCTAAACCAATTTTATGAGGATGTATCAAATTTAGACAGTGTAACTTTATTAACACATATAAAACTTAAGAAAAATGATAATAAAATCCTCTCAAATTATATAAATGACAATCAGGTCTCTCGAAATGCCATAACTTCACTAAACTCCCTGGGGACTTTTGTGTCAATAAATTTTATAGTAAAAAGACCATTTAACCTTTGTTGAAAATAATAAGCCTCAATCACAACCATTTTTTAACGAATAACAATTTTAGTTTTGTGAATTGCAAGAATTGAACAAGAAATCATTATTTGTCAAATGTAATTTCTATTATTGAAAAAAAATTCTCAAAATAATAAACTCCAATCACAACTTTTGTTTAAAAAATAACAAGTTTTGTTCTGTGAATCGCAAAAGTTAAACAAGAAATTACAATTTATTAAATGTGATTTCTGTTATTAAAAAACAAGTTCTCAAAATAACAAGTCCGAAACACTTTTGTTTAACGAATAGCAACTTTTATTTAAAGAATCGCAATAATTGAATAAAAAATCACAACTTATCAATAAGGATAAAATAGCCTTTTCAATTTAAAATTTATTGATACAAATGGAATTATAACATTTCAAGAGACCGGAATATTATTTATATAATTTGGAGGGATTTTATTGCCATTTTTCCTAAAACTTAAGTAACAAAAATTTGAGCAAAACCTTCATGACATAAAATTGAAGCTCGAGAGGTTGTTGCAGGAGCTAGAGTATCCCATATAACCACATTGAAATTATTTGAGCTATATCCAGCCACAGCCATTATTGATCCACTTGAAGGAAAGTAAGTTACATCCCTGAAAGCATACATGGAATAAAACTTAAGGTTAAATAAAAGGAGCAAGGGAAAGGGGGGCAAACTTGATGCACATTATACTTACAAAACATGCATTAAATGGTTGTTCATCACATTCATAATTGTGGATGAGAAGTTACAATTAATCCCATTTCTGATGACAATGAGTCCTGAATTTATTGTCATCCCTCAGTTTCAAGTGACATGTTTGATAACTAATTCTAGTAAAATCATGGCTTACAGTTTTAAATCTGATACAGAAAAGCATTACATAAAGAAAGCAGACTTGGATACTTTTCAATTTTCATCATATATATTGCAGATTGAAGAATAAAAAAAGTAACTTATTCACAAGGACAAAACTACTAATCCAAATGCAGCTTTAAGTCAAGCGGGGCAAACATTATAAATGGAAGCACCAAAAAAGTAAAATACATACGACGAGTGACCATTGAAGCAGAGGGATGATTCTGTTGGACGAACATTGCTCCTTCCTCCTACCTCTAGCTGCCATGTGCAGACAGTTCCATCTAACGCTGCAGTTGCAAATCGGTGTCCATAGTGATCAAACTTTAAAGCTGATACAGAAGCTAAAGCATATGGTGGAGGCACATTAGCAGCAGGAAGAACTCCATACGTAGCTTTAGCTTTATCTTTGTTGAACTGCGATTAGAGCAGTATTTATCAACCAGATACTAGAAATATTGACAACAAAGGCAATTGCCTTAATGCACTTGAGTAACTCAGATATTACATCCTATAATTGTATCCGTATGCTAGAATGCCTCTAGTATTAACAGAAAAATAGATTTTTTTCCTTAAAAAATTCCCCTTTTTCATTAATTCTATAATGCTAGGATCTCAAGCACACCAAATACCATGGTGGGAATAATTGGCACACTTCACATGAAGAACAACTATTATGTCTGAAGAGCAGCTTCAAAGTTTTCTTTCTTTTTTCCCTATGCCTCTGTCAGAAGGAAGACACCTAGAGCACCATGCTAAATGTTACTGGCTTATAGCTAGACTGGACGTAAACTTCTTGCAGATTGGAAAGAAAGTCCAGAACAAAATATTATTCAAGGGCAAGAAACTTCCATTTTATTTCTTTAGTATGCTTTTGCAAGAACATTTAGGGCTGTAGTGAAAATGTAATTTTGATCCTAGTTTTTGAATTAACTTTTTTGCAAGAACATTTGGGGTTGTAGTGAAAATGTAATTTTGATCCTAGTTTTTGAATTAACTGTTTTGGAAAAGGAAAGTATTAGTCTCCCTACTTAGGAAACTTCAAGAAAAGTTCAAGAGGGGGAAAAGGCCTAAAAAAAAGCTCCACACCTGCTAGTAAAAATACATGCACATCCAGGTTCAGCCACATTAATATGCACATCAACTTAATATTTCATACCTCCCACAGGTAAATGTGCGTATTGCTTGAACCAACCAAAAAGAGTGGCCTTAATGGATGACTGGACAATGTCCTTGTACTTATGTTTTCCACAGTTGCTGGTGGATCGACTAAATCTTCAAAGTCCCCCTGAATTTCCCAACCTAATCTAGCAGCCCCAGTTCCAGCATATTTGGAAATGCCAAATGCTCCACCAACTGTAAAGTCTCTGCTAGGCCTTGCTGAAAGGTCCACACCAACTGTGGCTCCACCCAGCCCAAGGTGTGCCCCTTTCTTGCTCCCAAGACCAACACCAGGGGAAACACATGTTGGAGCTGGAATGGATTCCGAACCTGCCCACCCATTTTGTGGCCAATCAGCCTCAGACCACAAATGAACTGATTTATCACCAGAAGGTATCCCGTCATCCATATGAAAGAATAGTATGCCCTGAATTAGATTGAAGGAAAAAACAAAAGAAAAGACACTTATGTACATTTTATGTCATTTTAAGAGAAGGACCACATACATTTGTAAAATTACTACGCAAAATGAGCATTGCAATAATCATCATTATTTCCATAGGGGAAAAAAAGGGTGGGGGGAGGATAACAAAACCTCCAAAATAAAAACAGGAAAAAAATAAGGGACAATATATTACAGGTCCTTACAATTTCACTCAATTTTGAATTAGGTCTTTATAGTTTATTTTGTTTTAATCAAACCCTTATAGTTTCATCTATTATATATAATGAATTATTAAATTTTACAAAAAAAAAAATTGCTCTTGGAGTTTGCAGAAAATTTAATTGAATACTTTTAGCCAAAATAAAAAAAAAATTGATTTAATCCATTGTTTATATTTTTATTATTATTTTTTAATGAAAATTCTACATGTATAAAAAATATTTAGAAGACAACCTAATTATATAAATTTTGAGTTATAAAAATTATGTAATTAATTCTAAAGTCTTATAATCATTTAATAAAAATATGAAAGTTTTTATTTTTTTAAAGGAAAAATTAATGGATTTTAACCTTCAAGGATTAAAAAATTTAATTGGTTAAACTATAAAAATTCAATTAAAACAAAATACACTGTAGAGACCTAATTCAAAATTGAGTAAACCTATAAGGACCTATAGATATGATTTCCAAAAAAATAATGCAAAAGAGGCTAAAAAATAAATAAAGTTTATCAATCTCCTGTATATCAGACAAAAAAAAAATATGTTAAAATAAAAACAAGCTGAGCACCAAACACAAGCCACTAACACAGGACAATTCGACATAAAAATTGTGATTTAAGAAGAAACAGAGAAACTAAGAATAGTGAGCAGGAAATGACCTTCCGATTGCTAGCAAGTGCAGCTTCCCGTTGATTAGTAGAGTTTATACACAATGCCTGCTCAAATGTAGCATCATGTCATTTTGTGACCTACATTACTGCCAATAAAAACAAGACCAAAAGAGAGAGAAGAAATCACCTCAAACAGTTCCCCATTTCTTTTGTGTATTTCTCTAGGACTCTGGAAAAGTGTGATATTTTTACTACTTGTATCTTTCTGGTGGGAATTTACAGAAGCATGGGCACCTTGAAACGCTCTTTTAACAGGTGACACAACTTCATGACTAGAACTGATGCCAACCTTACATCCATAATCATGTGCATCGTCAGTTTTATGTAGCTCTGTCAATTTTATATACATGTCATTCCATCCTTTAGTAGGAAAATGATCCAAATAATTTGACCAATCAAGTTTTTCCTGTGCAAAGCAGTCAGATATCAATTTTGGATCAGCACAGTGATCCCATAATATTTGATAAATCGAGTAGTTATCTTTTGTGTTAAATTCCAAATTGATTATCCCTTGACTTTGATCTTGATTGGACTCTGACAAACTAGGCCTTTTTAACCACTCAAAAGTCATTATGCTCAGATCATTTTCCAATTTCTGCCAGAGAAATGCTGCAAGTTTTTTGATATGATAAGAGGAAGTGTATGTAACAGTTGTCTTCAGTAGCTCACATAAGCTCAATGAAACCAACCTCATCTGCTCCAGAGAGTTGATACCATCAGAATCCAGAGCCAGGAGAGTTGATGCCTTACAATCATACTTTCTGTGAAAAGAACCAGACGGATTACCATCTTCATCTTCAAGTGTGTCAAGGATAGTATTCAAATTATATATCATGAATCTAGACATTTGCTTCCACAAGCAAGCCCCTAAAATCATCGATTTTTCATCATCAGGAATCAACTGCTTTACATTCGCAACATGTACATCTTGTCCACATCTTAAGGCATTGTCTACCAAAGAATGTTGAGCCTCCAATTCCATAATTTTTGGGATAAGTTTCTTCAGATTCACGATATCAACCTCATAAGGGTTACGGTCATCAGCATGAGCAATCAAGAAAGGTTGAACCATTAAAAAAATAGCTTCTAAGTTTTTTTGAAGCCAAGCTAATGAAAAGCGTAAATAATACTCAAACAGATTAAGAACATCAACAGTTTTCTCCATAATACTTTTGCTAAAAGAACCAAACCGGATCCTCAAAATGGCTTTTAAATGCCAAAGCGAAACCAGGACACCTTCAACAAAGTGAGACTCCCAAGCACTTGAAAACTTTAATTTACTTTCAATATGTGCACTGTTCTCAAAAAAAGTTAAAATTTGTTGGGAATTACCCATACTGCAGGCAGGAAAGAATCTTGAAAAGAAATAGGAGATTTCTATTGTAGACTTGTAAAGAGGTCTAAGCCAGGAGCAATACAATGCAGAAGCGTCAACTGTATCATTATTCTTATGAGATTGATCTCCTGGAGCACAACCAAATGCTATATCATATCCTATGTTCAGTAATCCCTGATGGCAAAGTGAGAGTAAAATCTGCAGGAAAGCACGAAAAGTAAGATTCTTCTCCAGAAGAATAATGTTTAAAGTGGCCAAAGGGTTTAGTCCAGATTATCGTGAATTACATACCATTCTTAGTAAACAGAATGGAGCCAATGAAAACCTCTGTTCAAACAGAGCAAGCCCAGCATACAATTTTTGCCTTAGATTTTCAAGTGATTTATCATACTGCATAATGGTTTCATCAGAATACGCCAATTCCCCATCACATCCTGCAACCTTATCTGGCCAACTTGGATGATCTCTTATCAGTTTTGATAAATACTGAAGTGCCAAGTTCAGTTTAGTATGGAATTCCAGATGCACAGACACATCAGCAGAAAGCCAGTTAGCTGATTTTCTTGGCAAAGGATTAAAATTACTAGATAGTGCCTCATTTCCAGCACCCAACTCACTCCCTTGATCTGCAGTCCCAACCATGCTCATAGAAGACGAGAAGCACTCCAATGCTTCAAGCTTGAAACAAGATATACATTTCATAAAATTACTCATCAGAAACATATTAGCATACACATGTAAGTTATATTGTTCGTGCATTTTATTGGCATTGTGTTGACACACAGTACTTCAGGGCCTGAAGCAAAACACGAAGTTGTTATCAATCAAATTTACACTTAGACACCACAATGAAAATGGTCTTGATGATTTACATGAGATATGGAAAGTTTGAAACAGTTCAAAAACTGGGAATTTACACTTCTAAGAATTCCTATAATGGTTAGTACTGGCTTTTTGGCTGGCCACTAGGAGCCTCTGCAAGACTTCTTCACCATAAAGCCTTTCCAGACTGACTAAACTGGTAGATGCATGGATTTACTTGAGAAAGGCATGAAAATCATACAATAAAATGATAGAGAAGAATTTCTTCTTGAAAGAATTGAATATATAAAATTAGAATATAACAAACTGGCTTTTATACAGTCAATAGTTACAAACCATTTATGAGAGCAGCAACACATGCAAGGCTATGACAGTTCAACAAGTATGTTAATCTAACAGTCTGACGTCCTCCTCAAATGAAGCCAATTGTGGAAGAGCACACATGCTACATGTCAACCAGAGCTAGACAAACATAGCATGAATCTCATTCAACTTATGACTGAAGTTTTAATATGTTTGTTAGAACTGGTAAGATATGCTAAGCAAAAAAATCAAGTCTCTTAAGATAAACTTACAGGAGTACCACATCTGTTTAGGGCAATTGCAGTCATAAGAGTAGCCCATCTCAGAAGGATAGCTGAATTTTGCTCCCCTACAGCATTCTTCAAACTATTCTTTGTTGCAAGCATTTGGCAATAAAAGCCAACGTTTGGGTCCAAAAAAGGATCACAGTTGGAGAGAACAATGGGGTCTTGAGCCACAGGATTTATTGAAACATCTAGCATTCTCCGAAAAGATGGATAGTAATTACCCAATTCCCACTACAAATCATGGAAAACTAGCTGTAATTGGAACATGCACAAGACAAGTATAAATGCAGAATATAAAGGAACCTTTTAATGATAAAAAATATTAATCAAATTTATTTATTTTAGGCACCTCCAGTAGGCTTGCAAGCCAGAAGTCCCCCTTTTCAATTGCAGATGGAAGTATATACTTTGTTATCAGGTGACGCTCCAATGATCCACCATGGCCCTCAACAAGTCGACAAATAACTAATGCAAGTTGTTCATCTCCAAGGTTCTTTGCACAAATATTTACAGCAGAAGAATGATCACCTCCAAGCAAAAAGAAAGCAATAGCCAGTTCCAGATGATGCTTCCCCAATAAGACATAAGCATTTTTTAAAGCAGCTGCTTTATTTTTCTCATCCTGTAATCAAATAACTATGTTACCTAAATAATTTTTTGGAGCATCAACAATAAAATAGTGCATGTTAACGAGGAAGTTTCACACTTGCATAATATACGTAAATAAAATTGGTACAGGGTTCCAAATTAGTAACAACAAAAACAAAATTCATAAAGGTAGCTTAATTCCTGACTATCTAATCAGCAGCCCTTATTGGCTTTACTGAACAATAAGAAAAAAGGATCAAAGTCCCAGACAATGAAAAAGATACACAAAAGATCAGGGTCATAGCAGCTGTTCTTGTCAGAATTTACAGAGTACCTCAAAATTGCGTGAGAGAAATCCCACTAAAGGCTTGTCTTTCTCATCCTTACTAATTTTGAAAAGTCCAGCCAATACTTGAGTCCTATTTAGTGCAATATATAGTAGTGCACAGTCCTTAGGATTTTTGTTCTTCAAATACTGTGCCCTTGCCAGTTTCTCCATCTAGAGTTAAGGGGGTAAAAGGGAAGCATTAGAATTTAGAACTGTTTAAATTGGACATGGTAATGAACAAACAGATACAATATAAAAGTAATAATCTAAAGATGAAAAGTTCATGTACAAATAACCAATCAATAAAATGCTGCCTTCTTGCTTATAAGTAATCCCTTTTCTTTTCCAGGCAACACAGCGTCAGCAGAAATTTAGAGTGTAACAGAAAGATTGAAAGAACCTTCAACGTCTCCCTGAGAAAGTATCATAATACTAGAAACTTCAAAATTCAACTTCAAAGCTTTATGAATAAATTTAAGATCTTGATTTTCCCCATATAGCACAGAGAGCACTGGGAAAAAGAAAAGGACTGAGCATTACCCTAGCACGCAATTGAGGTACATTGGCAAACCAAAAGCCAATACCCAAAGCTTGCATTTCTTTCCAAGATGGTTCACTAGGTATGACAGAACCAAACAAACTTTCTTGACAATCAGAGTGGTAAGCCCATACAAACAGCCTTGAGTTAACTATCAACTCTTCTGTAGTTGCAACTCTACCAAAAGTCCGGACAAAAAGCAGTTGCCGAAACCTTAATCCCACCCAAAACCTGCAAACACAAGAAAACCATTTATTAAACTGCATCATAGCAAGAGCATCTTTGTTGACAGTGCCAAACATGCCATATTGCTTATTTATTTCAATTTTATTCTGTATTTAGCTTTATTATCTCTCATTTATCTGGAAGTTAGTAGATGTTCTGCTTTCAGATTTCTTTGAAGGCATCCCTGAATTCTAGGACTATCCAAGCTATCTGTGGCATCTTAATTGTAACCACAGAGAGAGAAGCCATGACTCTCGCTGGTTTTTTGACACTCACTTCTACAATCTTAGGTTATTACTCTTATCTATGCATGAAGCTCTTAAGTTTTGCAGTTCTATCAAACAAGAATTACAATTCAGCAAATCTTTACAAGTGGACACTACAATTAGATTACTTAGCAGGTAACGTAAATACTAGTGGACATTATAGTTCCTAAAGGGGCAAAGGATACAAAGCTCTGTTGTTAACAATTTAGGTTAGAATAATTTATAAGCGAAGTGTGTAAGCTTTTAATTGAAATTTTATATTTCCTAGCCCATAATCAAATACTAGAAAAGGAGCTACCAATTAAGTTGGATTTCTCCCCTTATAGATTTAACATTAATCATCCTTTATCCTGTTTGCCCGAAAGAAAATATATATATATATATATATATATCCTTTATCCTGAATCAAGACTTAAAACACCATTTCTTCTTGATACCCAACAGAGCCTCGGACATCTGATTAACATTCTGTGTAGGCCCTAGCATGAGTTCCATAGGTCACAGATAACTTTCAGTGATAAGCTGATTGCTCATTCCTTTATAACTAAATTATTCTTATGCAAATGCAAAGGTGCATGATATAGAACTACGCGGATCAATTAGTACTAGAAGTCTCTGGAAAAAGGTAACATCAGGTAGGTGCCACTAAAGTTTTAATGCAATAACTAAAAAGCAAAAATATAAAAAGCAATGCAAAACACTTGAGCCACTAATGTCTCAGAATGTAAGCTTAGTTTTCCAAGAGTAGATCTCTTATGCACGTTGTTTTGCCTCCTGTGAGCAGTACAGGACAAGTGAAGCTTCAAGGTACATAAGAGATAAGAGTTGTTACAAGAGATTCAGTGCAGATTAAACTCAGTTTATTTTGTCCATTGTAGAGTTGGTAAATGCAGTTTGATCCAACCTTTTTTGTTTCTTCTGGCCGATTCTAGGGTTTCCATTTTGTTTACATTTAGAGAGGATATGCCATATGCTTTTCTTGACGTCTTCCAAAGGATTTCACTCATAAAAAAGAACAAAAATTCATATGAAAGCATAACAGAAAGCTAAACATTACTAAACTAACTTAGGGATACCTTCGTCCAGGCTCATCAAGACTTTGATATGCAGAAGATGAGTGTACACTATTAACTTCACTGAGCAGATCAATAACTGCAAGAATCAGTGTCTTTTTTATGTTGATAATAGCTTCTAAGTTAGGCAAATTTTCGAGCAATTTGTTGAAGCCATTGAGCTCAGATTTTGTTGAGGGTGTATTTTCAACAGTGAAACCTGAATGATATGGAAACTGCATGAAGCGGCTTTGAGCATCCACACTCCATTGGAATGCCCTATCTTGGGAACTTTCTGAAATAAGTCCTTCTAAATAATTCGACAATAAGATCACTGGAGGGCCAATTTTTTTGGAGATATAACTGTTTTCAGGAGTATAATTAGAAATCACAAATTCAAAAAGATGCCTCACAGCCACATATGCACGTTTCCAGTTGCCTGAAAACATTAGAGAAAAATTCCATGAATTATTTGATGCAACCTCCATTGCATGCCTCATAAGTGAATTCTTTCAAACAATATCAAAGCAGATTGGGAACAAAAATTGTCTTGCAAATCACAGAACAACCTGTTAACAGTAATTAGCAGCAGATTAATTGGAACACCATAAATTACCAAGTCAAGACGTCTTTTTATAAAGCAAGCTCTTATACTTTGCTTTTAAGTTGGATAAAGTCACTGACAGAAGAGAAAAGAATAAAGTTGGAGAACCAGAAATACTCATCCATTACCTGAACTTATATTAATAAGGAGTACATCAGGGTGATAAATAGGCAAAGATCCACTAAATTTTTCCACAATTTCAAAGATGCTCCATAAACCAGTGTAGGTACTAAGCTGGGCCTCCAATTGAGACTTAACCAGAAGTATGCTGCTATTTAGTTCATTGGCCTTCATATTACTTTTGATAGGCCGCATGGACTCACAGTCTCCACTGCTATCCCCAATTGACAGCTCTCTAAAGGTCCTGATGTCACTATCAGAGAAAAATGCAGCAAGCGTTTCCTCAAATGCACCACCCTTACAATTATAGAGATTTGCTTTTGATTCACATGAATGAGAATTAATCTGTTGCTTTTCACCCACATGGAACAACCAATTACTAAATATAGTAAAGTAATTCCTATGAACGACCACTGCTGTGGCTCTGGGCCCCCACAAGAAATCATTAATGGGAAGGGGAGTATGAGCAGATGCAACACAAACCCATATATTCATCTTGGAAAAGTTTCCAGATGTTAACAAAGTCAAACCATCATAACGCCTCTGAGCATATACTTGCAATTCATTTTGCAAACAAACCCCAAGCAATAACTGACCAGTCCCCAAAGTGAACCAGTTTAAAGTAATAACGTCACCATCAAAGGTTAGCTTATCCTCCAAAATAAAAGTCCCTGCACTGGTCAGGTTTACAGCATGCCATATATGGATGGCACTAACTGCATTTGAATTACTCCTGTTGCAGAATGTAGCAATCTTCTGACCATAATCAGTCAAACATATACCATCGATGGGACCTTTATGTGCAGCAAACGTACCTGCAAGCTCCCATGGCAAGTGCAAGGTTGATATGTTACCAGGCGTACTACTCCACAGTTTCAAGCTACCATCAGAGCAGCCTGTGACGAGGGTATATGCAGGATGACAACTACAATGATCATTTGCGAAACCAAAATTTTGTTGTTTTTGGCTAACAGTAGGCGGACAAGCCACAGCAAAACTAGTAACCAGACCATCAGTAACAGTAGTAGGAAACTCAGATGAGCAAGGATTGACCCTAATGCAGTATCTTTTACCAGCAAAAGTACTTTCAAATGCCCACATACTGTTGTCAGAAAGACTCTTAGCATCAAAATTGCATTCACAATAGCTTGTTGACATGTCAAATGAGTGCAAGGTAATTTCCCATGACAGGGCCTGAAATCCCCGCATCCAAATTGCCAAAAGCATAAACTTATGGTCAGAAAATGTTTTATTACAAGTGGAGTCCAAAGAAATTGCAAAGATATCAGTAGGGCCATGCTCATAAGGACCATGACCACTGAAAGGTATAGAGCAAAAGTAGTGGTGGTGCATGTTTTCTTCTTCAGTTTGACAAAATTTGACAATAAAACAATCAATGCCTCCAGCATGTCCCATGAAAAGAACCTTTTCATCATCAAATACTGAAGGTGCCCACCTCAAGCTTGTATATATGGAACAACAGTCTTGAGTTACAAGCTTTCCACAGAGTTGCCAAGTGGGAACCAAAGTTGGACATCCCACCATGCAGTTTGAAATCCCAGAAAGTGACCAAAAAAGTAGCAGTCCATTAGAATCCAGAGAAGCAGCAAGTTGAACTTCATATGTACAAGGATGAATAGAAACCTTTAAAATTCTCCCAACATGACCATCCAAATTTAAAACTCCGCCTTTCAAATGTGAGACGTTCTCAGTGTTGGAATTATCAAGGGAGTTTTCTGCAGCATCATTTAGTGATTGAATATAAAAAAATGACCGGATTAAGGAATTAGATGGCAATAACTGGACTAGAGAGCATGTAACTGGAGGGCCAGACCAGCGGTTCCTCAATAAAATGACTTTATTCAGAAGTAATACTTTTCTGAAATCAGATGAGTTGAACCTGTAAAGATTTCCTGTTTCAGGGTCACTGAGTTCATGTCTCCTCCACAACTTAACTCGGGGAAATCTAAGGGGGGAGAGGTCATCAAGACAGTGGATGGACCATAAGCTAAGTGACATTCCAGGACCAAATCCAACTAACCAATCACATGGTCCAACTTCATGGTCAAATCCTTCTTTGGAGAAAACTTGGATGGTTCCTTCAAAAATTTTAAATATCCCTCCACTTTCTGTTCCCCATGTCACAAATATATCTACACCGAGAGTTCCATTCAAGGCATGGTTAATCTCAATAACAGAAACAACACAATAGCGAGTCTTCCTCGCTTTTCCATCATCACCCTCACTCCATAACCTTAAAGTTCCATCTAAGCAACATGTCAGCAATACATGCCTAGCTGAGTGTCTCCCTTTCCGGTTTGATGGCATTCCTCTCAATGGTCTCCATTGAATCATTGTGACAGGTAGAGGATGATGTAGCTCAGATTTTGAATATTCAGAAAGTCCATTGCTTTGACTCACTAACACACATTTGCTTACCTTATTAACTAAAGACTCTTCTTCAATATGCTGTTTATTAGGATGTGCTGCAGTTGCTGAAGGGCCATCAATGGACCAGGCTGCACAAACAAGAGTTTGGGGCTCATCTGCTTTAAACTTCCATACTATTTCCCAACACCTGTTGCTCTTTTTCCAGAAAACCACCTCCATACCGCCAGATATTAATCCGTTGCCAGACCCTGTCCATCTGATAGCCTCAACCTTCATTTGATGTGCAAGCACTGCATTCTGGCTCCAACAAAAAGAACCTGAATATGAGTAACAAGATTGTGGTTTTAATATCTACAATTCAAATGGGACAAAAAAGGGAGTAAGAGCAAATGCTCATTCGACAATTAATTCTAGTCTAGGTTAACAGAGTATGCCATACTTCGAAGCTCTGTTGCACAATTGTTTTGTACATGAATAGAAATAAGTACCTGAATAGTTTTCTACGTTTCAGAAAGAATCACAAGCAAAAGGCAAACTTCTGATATTTTAAGAGATCTTAAATTTTCGAAAATATTCTACAAACAGTTTCATAAATTCATCTCATATTCTTGTCGGTAGGAAGCCTAGAAGTAACCTGGAAAGCCCCCAGACCCAACTCAAACTTTCCTCAGCATCAAAATAAATAAGTAAAGAAATAGGGGAGGAGAAGGAAATTAAAGAATCAAAACAGGGATCAGAAACCAAATTACATTGAAATCGATATGACTAATCATTTAAAAAGAAAAAGGCAAAAATAACAAAAGCTTGACTGCGACCATTGTAGCGTATCTCATCAACTTGTACATCTACAATGAACTTTATCAAGTAGAAAATGTAAACCTCAAATCCTCAGTTCTTCCAAATTGCAGAAATATCGATGGGTAAATGAAATGAACAAACAGTTGCACATGCGAACCTATTCCAACTTCGAATTCAGTGTTCGGTCCATTTTTATATCCCTCTTCAGTAATCAAATAAAATTCAAACTACTCAGTAGAGAACAAATAAATAAATAAACTTTCACTCACCTTTACACTTGAACGAATCATGCGAGAAAAGCCAGATACAATTTTCAGCTGCAGCCGCCAGCTCCCCAATGGATGGCGTCCCCGGAGACCAAGAAACGGCGGCCACGACAGACAAGGGGTCGCTGGAGAGCTCGAAGACTTGCCTTAAAATGGGACCAATATGAGATTCTTCGGCAGAGAGAGGAGAGGGGAAGTGGGAGATGACTAAGAGTGAAGCCGCTCCGTAGGCGATCCATGAATACCCGGAAAAATCCGGAAGCCAGTCGATGGTGGATTGGGAACCAGTGGGGGCAGGGGTGACGATCTCGGATCTGTGAAGGCCGAGAGGAAGGTGATCAATGGGATTGATGGTGGAAGGTGTGTTAAGAGAACCAGAGCTTGTCTCCGCCATTGTGAATCTTCGAACTCTTTATCAGCCACGCCAAGAGAAGTAGCATCTAGCAAAGGAAGAACCCTGAAGCAGCTGATGAACCACGAAGCATCAGGCAAGCTAGCACCAGGAACCTGTGACTTACACTCCCTCCATAATTCGCATTAGAATCGTAAAGTGGCATAATTCTACAGAACTATCCCGATGAAGTGAATCAAAGTGGGAAGAATGTTTGTTTTTCAAAGAATTTGATGTTGGTATTTCAACCAAAAAATGAAGTACATTTACAAGTAAATGGCATGATAAATACAGCGCGCGGAAAATTTCCGCGGGGTTATAAGAAGTTAAGAACTAACAAATGTTTTTCTCCATGATTTGCGTAATCAAATCAAATTATAATTTATAATATTATAGCCCTTCATTAAAATTAAATCTGCTTATAGTTTCAGGTCATAAAATCCGTTTATAAGGGAGGGAAAACTTAAAACCCGTTTCATACGCTGGAATTTGGAGCATGAATTTTTTTTTTTTAAATACAAAGTCATGGAAAACCGTGGAAGACAACCAAAATCTAGTCATATCTAAGATTAAGAGGCTTTTACAATCTTGCAAGGATCATCAAAAATTGTAACATCAAAGTTGTTATATATAATTAGTTGGATTCAATGATTTGTTTTTTTATATATAAGTAGTTTGTATATTACATACTTCAATACTATATTAATTGTGCACTATTAATGTCAAAAATGAGATATATAGCAACTTCAATATTTTAAAATAAAATTTTAATTTTTTTTAAAAAATAGTTGAATCACTATAGAATTATTGTGATTTATCTCGAATTTGAATTCGCCACATGACCTAAATCTACTCATTCAGTAAGTATATCTATAAAATCAGCATTTTTTTTTAACTTACATCAAATGTTTTTCTTAACAATTTAAATATTTTATATTTAAATGATAATTTAAATACCTATTAATTAAAGTAATTGTCGAGTAACTTATTTCAAATTTTAAATTTGTCGAGTTAAATTTTTATAATTTGTGAAAATTAAATTTATAATTTTATTATAAATTCTCCATTTATATTTTTAGTAAAATGTTAATTACAAGTATATCTTAATTCAAACTTTTTAATTTCAGACATAGTTATCTGGATTAATTAATTTTTTCAAATTGTGCAAATTGATTAAAATTTGCTCATACATAAAAGCAAACACGAAGAAGTTGATTGATTTAAATAATAAAATATTTTATTTTATAATTTATTATTTAAATTTATATATTATATACAATTAATTATCTTATACATATACAAAATATAAGTAACAAATGATAAATCTCCTACATTTACAAAAAAATATTAGATCTCATACACACTTTTTTTTTATGAGTCTCATACCTTTAAGTATTTTTACTGTGAGTCCCATATCTATTTTTTAATTTTTGTTGTAGGTTTCACATGATCTATTAATATACAAAGTTTAAATTAAAAAAGAAAAGAAAACATCATTGTTCATCCATATATAGATGAACAGTATCATGATACACTTATATATATATATATATATATGGAATCATAAAAAAATGTTTTTTATTATCATGAAAAATTTTCCATGTCAATTATTTAGTGGAATTGGCTTCATGTTAACCCTAAAGATTTCAAATTTTTTTGTTCCATACTCCAATTTTTCCCCCTCCCTCTTTGTTTAAATCACAGTCGCAATCAAGCTTCTTGCCATTTTCTTCATTTGTTAGCGACCTTCTCCTCCTATTATTGCTGATAACCTTCTCCCCTTATAATATAATCTAATTATCACACTAACTTAACCATATTTATCATCCATTAACTTGGTAATAAAAGATTCAATATCTAAAGCTTAATCATGGTGAAATAGAAACTAAAATTCAAATGAGATCCCAAGTTTTACAATTCAAAACTTAAAATATTTAAGCTAGGGATATCAGCTAGACATAAAAACTTTGCAAATAATATCAAAAAGGTCATTTAAGCATAAAAGGAGCAATGTGCCACAATTAGATGCTCTCTGCACCATATACTACAACACATTGCACAGCACATGACAACATCATGCTATCAAATGATAAATTCTAAGGTTGAATTCTGACATGTTCCAATTCTTCATCCAATATCCAATTGAGATAATTTATGTATCTACAAAAACTTTATTCAGTGAACTAGCTACTACCATTATTTTCATTTCAAAATTAGTTCATATCACCAAAATTGAACACCCAAAACAAAAACAACACCATTTTCACTCTTTAAATCCTTCCAGGTGTCTAAAAACCAACCAAAGTGCTAAAGCTCAAACAATCACCTAGACTAAACTCAAATGACCTAGAACAACTTGTGCAGCACACCACAACACACAAATCTCATTTTTACTGCCTAACCCCAATTTCATCAAAAAAATAAAAGGGGAGTTGATCATCATTTAATTTACGGAATAAATATTTAAAATCCTAAAAGAACTCTAAACATACTTACACCAATATTTTAACCCTAAACAAAGATGAATAACTTATACAAACTAATAAAGTGCGCAAAATACCAACAAATAACCACAAAAGTATGCAATGGTGCAAGTAATCAAAATGATCGTCCTAGTTAGGAGTGTCAATTTAATTACACATATATCAAAAGTATTATGATGCTTTACAAAGGGAAATCACGTTCTTAAGCCTTAAAAGCCTTTCCCTTGTCTTGCCTAGAGCTAATGCTTGAAAAATGTTAAATAAAGAGTGGGTAAAACTACTCAATAATTAAGATAATCTAAAACACGCTCATGCAAGTCAAATAACCATAAGCATGGAAATATCCATAATGCATAATTCATAATGTAATGATCATCCATTTCTCCAAATCTCCATCACTACTAACTAAATCCATGGACGACAAAGTAATTAGGGTCTAAACCTATGTGGCTAGGTTAGTTTGAGATCTCCAATCATGAGAGGTGACTAAGCTAAAGCCCTATACTTATTTTCAGACCATGGATTCCCCTATCTTGAACATAGGGAGTGTCATAAATCCCTGTTATCAACTTTGCTAGTTGGGATTTACGGGTAAGCCCTATCACTACGTTCGCTATATAGGGTTTAAAGGTAAAGTAAAGGACTAAACAATAAGGCTCGATGGTGTTGGTGAGATTCATGTAGATTCAAATCATTACTCCTCACTAAAGTAAACTCCTACTATCACTATGATCATTGCAATATCACATGCTATTATACTAATAACAAATTTCAATATCATTACCATGCTCATATTCATCTAAATTTACCAAATTCTAAAGAGTTTCAATCATTAATAGACAGCCAATTTTCATATTCAATTTCATTATCCCATTTTTATATAAAGCCACACTTATATATTTTCAAAACTCAAATAACATATATACATTGAGATATGTAGAAAATATAGTTTCAAAGTTCATGAAAACTTGTAATTAATTTAAAAAGTAATAATACAAAATAGATTCTCCCAATTACCTTAAATCGTTGATCACTTGAAAGTTACCTACATTACCACTTGTTTCTGAGCTAAATTCGATCTCTATAGAGCTTTACGAGGTTAATCTACATTTACCAATAGCAGTCGTCACTAATGGCACCATTTGTAGCTTCTAAATTCATACTTTAATAACTAAATTTGCTAACAAAAAATCTCAATCTCACAACTAATGAGTTTATTAATTCCCATTAATTTTATTTAACTCTTATTAATTTAAATAATCACTAATATGAATCCAATAATTTAAAATCACTTTTTAGACATTTAGGGCTTGTTCAAAATGGATGACCTAATCTTGTCACCTTGTAAAAACTTCTAAACTAGGAATAGGTTATTTAAACAACCCCTGTTAGTCCTATTAGAACTAATGAATTCAGACTCATAGCCTGAGGTTCAAAATAATCAATTTCAAACCCCCAATCCTAATCCAAATTTGTGTAGAGATAAGAGGAAAAGGTAAGGAAGCTATACCTAGATGGAATCAAACTTGAATCACCTTCAAAGTGCTTTAGAAATGAAGCCCTAATAGAGTAAAAACTGAGCTCCTTCATTCTTCTCAACTTTCTTTTTTTGTTCTTTAAACTAAGGATGCATGTTTTAATCTCACAATTAGAGCCATTAGCTGTGGTGCATGGACCAACCACTACGGCGGATGGTACAGAGATGAGCAACCCATTTTTGCTATAGTAAAACATCTTTAGGCCCTAATTAAAAGGCTAAAAATGAATTTAATAGACCTATTAGTCATCTCTAGCCATTCTTACACTAATCAATGCTCAATTTTATCTAATTATCATTGATCAGTTCACTTAATCCATGAATTAAAATCAAGGATATTACACCCCCCGATGTCAGCAACCTTTCACTAAACTACTAGCAAGCTTCCTATAACATATTAGATTATGTAAATTAAATAAGGTTAAATAAGTAAAATTTAGCATTAATTAGTTTAAGGATAGTTTAGACTGGCTAATGAACTTACTATATTCATTTTCAACCTATGGATTAGATTCGGTGGTGTTTTAGCCATTTGGGCCCAAATTAAGGAGTAGAATTCAAGCTGCCTATATGCCACTTGTCATGGCGAAGGGTATAGCTTGGTGAACAAGCAAAATTTTAAGATTAAAAATCACAAATGCGACATGTAAACCAAAAAAGAAACTAAAAAGAGAGAGTAACAAGAGAGAGGAAAGGCTTTGCTAAGGCTTGATATTCAGGGCTTTTGGAGGTATTTTCTCACTTGGCTTCATATAGGTAAATCTTCTACTCCATCTCTTCTTCCCTATACATGAATTTAAATCAAGATTTAAGGTTGGGAGAGTAAGATTTTTGGACCTAGGTCTATGGGTCCAAACCTGTTAGTTCTAACAAGATTAATAGGAGTTGTTTAAATATTTTATACCTAGTTTAGGAATTTTCAAAAGGTTGTGAGCTTGAATTATCCATTTTGGACAAACTTTAGGCCTCCAAAGGATGATTTTCAGATTATGAAAGGTTATATTAATGATTATTTGAATTAATGGGAACTAAATAAAGCTAATGGAAGTTAATAGACTAATTATATAAGAGATTTAAGTTGTAGTTAGGAAATTGATTATTAAAGTAAAAAAGTTTAGAAATTGGAAATGTTGTGTTGGATAACTAATAGTAATTAGCGATTGTTATAAATTATAGACTAACCTTGTGAAGCATTATAGAGCTTGAATTTAGCTCCAAAGCAAGTGAATT